AATTAATGCTGTTGGTGATGCAAGATATTCAACCTTGAAGACAATATCCTGTATTTAAGACCATTGTGTAGTTGTTAATTCTGTGAAAAGAGGCATTGAATTTCTGATTAAGACAAGTCCTGCAAACACCAAATCAATAATGGCATGATTTCAGCCTTTGTTTGATGTCACTCTTTTCTGTGTCCACTTACATGAATCTGTCCTGTTTCTTTTCTTTGAAATCCAAAAACTGATAACAAATGCATTTATGGATAAAGCAGTGTAGTGTTGATATAGCACCATCTGAAAGATCTGCTCTGAAATGTGGCTGATGAGCTCCCCTTGTGTTTAAAGGTCAAAATTGCTTTAGGTAAAATAATGTCATCCCAGCTGCCCCAGTATCTGCATGTTGACATGTACTAGCCAATAGGTTAAGAATTTATTTATTTTTAATTGAATTTATTGGGGTGATATTGGTTAATAAAAATTATATAGGTTTCAGGTGTACAGTTCTACAATACATCATCTGTGTATGGTATTGTGTGTTCACCACCCCAGGTCAAGTCTCCTTCCATTATTACTATTTATCCCCCCTTTTACCCTCCTCTTCCTCCTCCCACTTCCTTTCTCTCTGGTGGTCACCATACTGTTGTCTGTGTCTATGATTTTTTTCTTCTTTGCTTAATCGCTTCACTTATTTCACACAACCTCCCTCCCCTCTGACAACTGTGAGTCTGTTCTTTGTATCTATGAGTCTGTTTCTATTTTGTTTGTTATTTTGTTCATTAGATTCCACATATAAGTGAAATTACAGGGTATTTGTCCTTCTTTGACTGGCTTATTCTCTTAGCATAATACTCTCCAGGTAATGAGTTAAGCATTTCACATGCCATTTCATTTACTCCTCAAAAGAACTCTTTTCAGTAGATACTATGGTAGCCATTTCACAAATGAAGCATCCAAGGCACAGAATGGGTAAGAAACTTGCCTAAAATCTTAGTTAGTAGGTGATGGAGCCAGGGATGTCACGTGCTCACAGTTAGTGCTCTTGGCCATCAGAGTTCCATGCCTCTGGGCTTGCTACTTAACTGAGGCTACATCATCTACAGTCTATGACATTGTTTTTTTCTTCCCATTTATCCATCTGTCTCTCCTATGATACTTAAATACTACTTCAAGGACAAGAACATTTTTGTCATCTCAATTCTTAGTCTTCTGATTTCATCCTACAAAATGTTAAGTTTTCCAAAGTAGAACTTCCTTACTAAAGTAACTTTTTACTCAGTTTTTCAACTCAGATGAAATACAACAATCTCAGCACCCACCAGATTTCCCTTCTCTTCTCCCTCAGATATCTTAGATGAAGTCCCAGCATCTGGGTGTGCTTAGTGGCCAGACTTTTTTGTGTCTTCGAGTGTGTTGGTATATTGTGTGAGTGTGTTTTCTATTTTGTCAGTCTGCTACATTAAAGTATCATTTTAACACCGATTTCAGGAAAATCTCCAACCTTAGGGTCCTAATGCAAGTGAGATCCTTCCATCTGCATATATGTGTGTGGCTACACTAGTTCTAATGGAAGTTTTTGTTGAGGAAAAAAAGAGAAAATCTTGTTGAGGTTTCACTGTTTTTCTGTATCTTCTTATAACACTTAAAATTTTAAAATCACTAATTTAATTGCATTGCATTATGAATATTCCCTATTTGGGGTGGATAGTACATTTTTCCTTTGGAATTCAAATGACTTTCAACATAGGACCTCATTATGTTAGTAATTGTCTCATTAAGAGTTTTTTGTTTGTTTGTTTTTTTAAAATATATTTTATTGATTTTTTACAGAGAGGAAGGGAGAGAGATAGAGAGTTAGAAACATCGATGAGAGAGAAACATCGATCAGCTGCTTCCTGCACATCTCCTACTAGGGATGTGCCCGCAACCCAGGTACATGCCCTGGGACCTTTCAGTCCGCAGGCTGACGCTCTATCCACTGAGCCAAACCGGTTTCGGCTGTTTGTTTGTTTTTAACAAGGTTGAAAAAAGGCAGGAGAGGATGCAAACCTAGTTCAGGGAAGCCATTTCAGAGAAGTTAGGGCTGTACTTGTGCTTCTATAGCAGTGATTGCGAACCTATGACACGCGTGTCAGAGGTGACACGCAAACTCATTTTTTTGGTTGAGTTTTCTTTGTTAAATGGCATTTAAATATATAAAATAAATATCGAAAATATAAGTCTTTGTTTTACTATGGTTGCAGATATCAAAAAATTTCTATATGTGACACGGCACCAGAGTTAAGTTAGGGTTTTTCAAAATGCTCACACGCTGAGCTCAAAAGGTTCGCCATCACTGTTCTATAGCCATTTTCTAAGATTTCAATTTAATCTTCAGGTGATGGGGAGAGTGTCCAAATATTTTTCAATAATTTTTTTCCATAAAAATTCTGTGCCTTAAATTGATGAAGTATTGTTTAACTTCAATTATTAAGACAATCCAACTCTCCATATAAATAGGCTTTCCTCTTGTCTGTTTTTGGTGTTTTTAAATAAACATCAGAAGAACTTACAGTGCCTTACTTAAAGGACTGAAACACATTTGGAAGGGACCATGGATAGGAATAAGCAACAAGTTCATTGCATCCCTCTGTTTAGGAATTAGCCTGAATCTAACCCACAACCAAGAGAATAGCTCCAAAGCTCAGAGGGCCTCCATTATTTGATGCTGTAATCACCAGTAATTTTGTAATAATTCCTATTCTTGTGTGTCTGAATATTGTTAAGGCTTTTTACTGATTAAAATCTTCTTATTTTATTGAATTGTCTCTGACCTAAATGTTTGATTATTAAATTAATAGCTTTTTAACCTTTGGAGGGTTTAGTAATCTATAGAAAATAGTGGTTCCTCTACTCAGTAAAATGCACATACACATAGACACCCCGAATTTAGCATAAAATCATGAGGGAGTTCAAGGATTGTTGGACCTATTTAAGAGTCTATTGGAACCTGTTTGAAGTGATTTGAAGAGCTCTGTGGCAACCAGTGTGTTTTCACAGAGCAAGCTTATGAAATTCTCTTTAAACCAAATTCCTTTAAGGAAATTGATTGATATCAAATGCTTCATGGATTGAGGTGAGACTAAATAAATGACAAGAAAATAAGCAAAATAAACAAAGAAAAGTCAGGCACTTGCATAAAATTCTCCAGGCACAGATGCTCTCACATAAAGAGGTATATAATGATATCAGTATTGCTTTATCAGCCTGTGGGTAAGCAAGTTATGTGGCTGAGACAATATATCAATCTGCATTTTATTACATTAGACTAAATAATATCCAACATTTTCTAATTTGAATATTCTAGCAGAATATTTCTAATTTGAATATTCTTTAGAAATGATAAATCAAGTATTTCTGTATTCTTTCAGAGAGGATTTTAACCTAGGGAAATTAGGATATTTTTTCATGGTGGTCTTGGTAGCACATTCCACATCAAAATTCAGACAATATCCTTGGTGTTCAAGTTCTTTTATTCCTAGAGAAGACAGCCATATTTGTTTAAGATGTTTATTCACTTTCATAGTTGCCTCTAAATATTTTAAGTACCTTAGAAATTTCTTGATTTATGATTATATTTCTCACCAAACCGAGACATGTTGGTAACATTAAGAACCTTAAGTTTCTGAAAAACAAGATAGTGCATATGTCAAAATATAATTTTCAAAATGTTGAACATAATTCTCATATAAATAGTTATTGAGCACATGTCAAGATTTTATTTAGCTTAATCAACAGGGTGACAAAGCCAGTCCAAAAAAGAGGAATATGTATTTATCTCTGTATCCATAGCCATATCAATTCTACTCATATAAATATAAATTTTGGTACCAGTCCTCAGTGAGACCAAATTTCTTCTATCAATTATTTAATATGAATCCATTCATATTAAAAACTCCATATACCCCAGCTTTTTAACAATAAAATGTATCCCTTTTGTTCTGGTAACGTTAGGTCTATTGTTCTAAGCCTTTAGCATACAGACTCACCTTGTAAAAGACTGATGGGTTCTACCTCCAGAGATTCTCTTTGTAGGGAAAATTTTATATCTACGTGGAGAACACAGATATAAATGACAGCCAGTTTCTCAGCATCACAAAGGAAAGAAATTCCTTAAAGGAAGTAAATGTCCCACGTTCTATCATTTATGAATGCTGAATGGAATAATTGAAAACCTCTTAGAAATTTTATGTGGGAATTGTTTTAAAAAGTTCTATGTGAAATGATTTATTTCAAAGCAGAGACCTTGCTTCTAATAAATATATACTAGAGGCCTTCCTTCCCCCGGCTGCCGGCACCGGCTTCCCTCCTGCACCTGGGACCCAGGCTTCCATTCAGCCCCTGGCAGACACCCAGGACCCAGGCTTCCCTCGCAGCCCCGGCTTTGTCCAGAAGGTTGTCTGGAAAGTCATCCAGAAGGATGTTTGATCTAATTAGCAATTATGCTTTTAATATATACTAGTGGCCTGGTGCACAAAATTTGTGCATGGGGGGGCGGTGTCCCTCAGCCTGGCCTGCACCCTCTCCAATCTGGGACCCCACAGGGATCGGGCCTAAACCGGGAGTTAGACATCCCTCTCGCAATCCATGACCACTGGCTCCTAACCGCTCACCTGCCTGCCTGCCTGCTCGCCCCCAACTTCCCCCACTGCTGACCTGCTCACCCCCGACTGCCTCCCCCACCACCGGCCTGATCAACCCCCAACTGCCCTCCCCTCCTGGCCTGATCGCCCCTAACCACCTCTGCCTTGGCACCGCCACCATGATTTTTGTCCTGAAGGGTGTCTGGAAGGTCTCCCAATCTAATTAGCATATTACCCTTTTGCAGTATAGATGATTTGGTCTTGCACTAGCATTTTGTTTAGGACAGGTTGCTCGCTCTGCTCTTAGACATAGGTGATGTGTCAGAATGTAGAGTGAGGGAAGCCCCTCAGGTCGTTCAAATGGAGCCATAGGATGTGTGTGTCTCTTTCCAGGACCAAGAAACCTCCTTCCCCAGGGCACTCTCAGCTCAGAGACTCTCCCCACGGTGGTGCTTTCTAGATGGTGAGTGTTCCTGTATTTCATGGAGGGGTGGGGGTTGGGGAAGCTGCAGGGCAAGGCATCCATTGATGGATTGGCCTTCAGTTTTCCAAAAGATTATTCAGAAACCCTTCATGTGGTTCCTCGATGATGTGGACTTGCTGATGTTGTAACACCTCTCTGAAGTCACTTTCCTCAAAGCCAGCTGGTTAACTCTGGCTGAACTTCGCAGCATCAGGTTGCTCAAGCTGCATTTCCCTTCATCGCTCTCACCCCCGCTCTCACCCTCGCTTCCTGGAAAGAGTTGAGTGCCTCCCTTACACTGAGGCCAGTAGATAGGTTCAGTAACCTTGGGATAGGTACCAGCACGTATGACTCTTGCATATTTTGGAGCTTTTATATCATTTTCACCAAATCATCACTTCAGTGTGATGCATAAGATTTTATCGAAGCATAGAAAATTTCAGTTGTGTTCATACCTGCCCTGCTGATCATGACATTGAATGCATAATAGGTCAGTTATTTCTGATTGGTCAATGAGTCCATTTTCCACTGCAAGCATCTCTCAATCCCTCAATGCTTCTCAATTCTATTTTTCTATTCAGTTACCTGTATTGAAGTCCATTCCTGCTTATATGCTTCCCAGTGTATCTACCACCCAGTGTCTCTCTAGTTTACGTGGTTTTCATCACAGACCCCTCTTTGTTTATCTGTGAATGCATCCGAGAGGATATAACTGTGGATAGGAGTATGACAGGATGTGAGATGTCTGATCAGGATCACGAAGATGAGCACTTGTATCTATCTGAAATCTAAGCCATATAAGTCATGACCTAGCTTTCCATTGATGGCTTGTCAACTGCCTCTGAAGGTAAATCACGCTGCTCTTCCTCCAGCTCTTCTATTCCTGATGATGAGAAACACAATCATTTTTCCCCTGAATCTGCAGAGGAATGACTTATATTTAATAAAATTATGGAAATGTATATGAATTGTTCTACAGATAGTCTGTTCTATATACAGTCTTTCCTAAAATTACAATCAATGTTTAAATAAACATTGTTTCTAATAAAACTATTTATAGAGTGAAACTAATATGGGGATTAAGACCATTATCCACAATTGGTTAAACAGAACAGAGTAGAGAAAGTACTTCTCAGGCGGATTCTCCTCTCCTGTTGCTTTTAGGGGGCAGGGGCCGTGACAGTTTTGTTTCTTAGCTCATTTGGAGGAAAGCTTCTCCTTAAGTATTTATGGTTTTCAAATGATTGTTTGCATTTTGAGTTTTCCCCTCTAGTACTATGCAGAAAATCTATTTATAATATTTGGACTCTGGTAGACAGATTTAAGGAAGGAGAAACATAATTCTTAAATGTTAAGAATAATCAGAATACTTTTTGAAAACCCAAGTTTGTAAGACTTTTTTCCTCAAGCCACAGCTGCAGCCCAGTCCCTTTTAAAAATGCTTAAATTATATGTATATAATTTAATTTATATATATAATAATTTATATATATATATGTATTAGTATTATCGTTATTGCTGTTTTAATCTTCTTCAGACATAGCTTAGGGACTCAGTTTTAAGGTGAAAAAATGCTGGATGTGGTTTTTGGCTCTGCTTCTTCAAGATCTTTTTCAAAATGAGAACCACTTTCTTGGGAAGTCTGGCTACTGAGAGTTTTGTGGGTTTTTTCTAGGCTTTATTTACTTAATAAACACACGTGGAGTCCCAGCTCTGGAGACATAAAGAATAAATGACAGACCTTTAAAGAGGCAGATACCTTAGTCTCATCATTATCTGTGAAGATAGTTCCTATAAGAAGTGTAAACAAAATGTTAGTGTGCATAGAAATGGAAGCAATGAATTCTGTCCGTGGTTAGGGACGACAGGACTAAGGGAGGGCTCACAGAGGAGGTACCATCTCACTTGCTCCTTAAAAGGCAAGTAAGATTTTGACAGGCAGGTGTAATGGGGAAGGCAGGGCCTTCTAACAGCAGAGGTGAGGAAGTCCTGCGTTTTTCCTAATAGACTTAGGGACCGGTCACCAGTCCCTAAACTGGAATGGAAGGTTTCTGATTGATGTGGTAGAACCGAAGGTTAGAAATTTAGTGCCAGATCACAGGACACTCTGAATGCCATATCCTTTTTTCTTTTTTTCTAGCAACTTCTGCTGATCGCTTTTATCGAATAGACAGATCTCAGGTACGTTTTCTTGAGCCTGCTTGTGAAAGTGAAAAATTCCCTAGTAAATATGCTTTATTGGCATCTAATCTGATAAACTTTTCTAACAAAAACGCGGAAACACACATTTTGGAATTAAAATCTGTGGCCTAAGCCCTGAGCTGCTGTCTTGTGTTTTGTGATCTGTGGACTGGAGATGATATGGCTTGACCTTTTAAATGAGTACAGAAAATAGCTAGACTTGTAAGTATCATCGCCAGCCTGCACTTCAGATCCTTACCTACACTGCTACTTATAAATACTGCTTCCTAGTCAAAACAGATGCCTTTGAAAAGTTGACACCTCAAATTTAAGACCTCAGATATACTGGTATATCTAGGCTACTTAGTTTCAACTCCTCACCTCTCAGAGTTCCGTAATCAGAAAATAAAATGTTTATGCCTAATGACAACATGTTCCCACTGTCCAAATTCTCCTGCAAAAAGAAAGGACAGTGTGGAATCCAGTCATAACACCTAGTTAACGATGCCATTTAGCCTTGACCAGATCCTGGGGGGAGGAAGTCCACTCATGCTGGACCAAGTTCATTGCGGATGTCACTTCTTTGGTAGTATTTGGGCATCTCTGGTTATACCTAACAAGATCCTGGTCAACTAGGAACCCAAACCAAGAGGGATTCACCTCTCTCCCTCCCCAGCCTCTTGCTATGATGTTGCTTCAGGGAGGGACGTCCACTGGTCAGGCCTCTGAACATTGACTGTGGTCATTTAATTAGTCACAGAATTTCATTATTCCTCAAGTCCTAGAAGCTTTCTTCTCGTTACCCTTCGGATGATGGATTCGAGCATCCTGTCAGTCCTCTGACAGACTTCTTTTTCTTCCTTAGGAACATTTGCACTTTGTGATGGAGATTTCTCAAGATGAGGTTTTTATTCTGGACCCAGACATGGCCTTGTCACAGCAGGCAGGGACACCGCCAGGAATGCCTGACCTGGTGGTGGAGCAAGCCTCAGGGTGAGTAGGCGGCTCCGTTGACATTGTGATGATGAGACTGGCCACAGGTACAATCATATTTATTTTATATTTAAGTACAAACAGTGTCTTGTTTGGCTTTGGCATTGACATTTCTAATGATGTCAAACTATTTTAAAATACAATAGTCCCCTTCTTATCCATGGGGGATATGATTCAAGAACCCCGCTCCCCCAGTGGGTGCCTGAAACTGTGTTTAGTATCAAACCCTATATAGTAGTCTTTTTCCTATACATACATACATACCTATGATACAGTTTGATTTATAAATTAGGCATAATAAGAGATTAGAAATAATACCTAGTAATAAAATAGAACAATTGTAATGATATACTGCCCTCCACCAGTAACTGAGATTTCATCAGACTACTGAGAATGGCATGACATTTAAAACCTAAGAATTATTTATCTCTGGTAACTAAAATCACATAAAGTGAGACCACAGATAACTTGGGGCTACTCTACTGGTTTCTTGTTGTGTTTCATCGGAGTGTTGTACAGCTGGATTCACTATAAGTCTGACTTATGAATGGTTGTGTGGAAGGACACTTTCCCACCAAGGTTTGTCTGAGCCTTCTTTACCCACCACATCCACACTTCCTACCAAACTAGAAAGCACTAGCACTTGCATTTGTGCATCTATAGCTGTGAGGCCTGTGTTAGCCAAATAAACATTGACACAGGTGATTTGACAATTATTTTTCTCCTCTTCCACGTCCTCCTTCTTCTTTGCTATATCCAGGCATCCTGAGGCATTGAGATTGTATAACAATAACTGTCACATGCCAAGCAGTTATTATGTGCCACGTACTGTGCTAAATGCCTTTCTTATATCCCTGCCACCACTTCATAGTGACTTAATAATCTTAAGTCATCTGTATTTGTTTCCTCATCTGTATCATGAAAATAATGACACCTACTCATAGAATTGTTCTAAGATTAAAGTAATTGATACATGTGGAATATTTAGAATAGTTCCTGCACTTAATAGATACTCATTAAACATTATTTTATTCAAATCATTGTCATCATTTCACAATGACTCTGTAATTTGCTACTATTATGTCCTAAGTCCATAAATAAGAAAATTGATGATTAGAGGGTTCTGTAACTTTCCAAGTATTGCACAGAAAATAAATGGAAAAATTGAGATGTAGTCACAGGTTTTCTGATGTCAGAACCCATGAATTTAACCATGACATTGAACCACCAAAATGATATTGATATTTCTAGGTTATTTCAACAATTTAAAATATTTATTTAGAGCTTTTTTTATGTGCCATATCCTAGTGTAAGCACTTGGGAACAAGGATGCCAAAATTAAAATAGACAAAAATCTTTGCCCTTTGTGAAGTCTAGTGAACTTGAGTGGTTTACTGGTTAAAATAAGGATTTCCTTGGCAAGCACACACACACTCACACATGCACCCAGGTAGCATATACAAAGTGTACACACATACCTATACAGTACAAACATAGATACTCATTTGAGTTACCCTTATGCCTATTTACCCCTCTTCACTTGCTGCTATTTCTAAGTATCTCCAACTCTGCCAGGGCCAGCTCATGTCCGTGATGTGGACCAAGTGTGTAGGCATCAAGAGAAGACAGAAATTGTAGGATGGAACAGATATATAGCTGTGCTTAGGAAGCCAGAGTTAGTGATACCAAAGCTATCCAAGTGTGAAGGTAAAGCTGACAGGCACAAAGGGTGGTAACCCTGGGAGTTCCGGAAGGTGATGGAGAGGACCCTCTTTGTGGCCCATGGACTATAAATCAAGCCTATTAGTTGTGGGGAAAACAAGTGAAGTGCTGAGTCCTACCCCAGATGCAGTAGGTACTAGACTCGCAGCCGTGGGCAAACTACGGCCCGCGGGCCGGATCCGGCCCGTTTGAAATGAATAAAACTAAAAAAAAAAGACCGTACCCTTTTATGTAATGATGTTTACTTTGAATTTATATTAGTTCACACAAACACTCCATCCATGCTTTTGTTCTGGCCCTCCGGTCCAGTTTAAGAACCCATTGTGGCCCTCGAGTCAAAAAGTTTGCCCACCCCTGGGACTCTAGCTGTCCTCCCACCTTGCCCGAACTGGGCATACGATGACTCACATCCCTTTGATCTAATCCATCCTTGATCTCATAAGAGTAAATCCATTCTGCCAAGCTCACCTTAGTCTTCGACCTGTTGGTCATTCTCTCCATGTCCAATCATGGCCAAAAGAAATGGCTTGTCTTGGTTAGAACTCTATTAACTCTAGCTTGTAAATAACACAACCTGAACATCCCCAAGTACTTGAATCAGTCCCTTTCTTTTTCTCATCAGGGGCCCCCATGGGACATAAACCAGGAACAGTGGAGCAGGGAAGAGGATGGGCTTTGTTATTTTCTTATCCGTATTTCAGTATCAGGCTTCTTTACTTCTTTTATGTTACATTTTAAATGATTTATCTTGAAATTCAGTTTTCTCGCCTATAAGGAGGTCAGAATTATACAAATGGTTCATGATGGTTGAGAAAATTAAATGAAACAATAAACGTGAAGTGCCTAGTAAATGCCCAATAGAGATGGATTTCCCTTTTCACATTTAGAGACAAGAATCATCTTGAGAAAGTGTAGGTAAGTCCTGTGGCTGACTTTGCTTACCTGTCTGGTGCCCTTCTCCCTCCCAGGATGTCAGACTGGTGGAATCCTTCGCTACGGAGACGCATGCTGAGCGACAGCGGTCTGGGAATGATAACTCCGCGTTTCGAGGACTCCGATATGAAAGATCTCAGCCACTCCCATGCGCTACAGTAAGAGTTTTCTCTCTGTTCTTTACCTGTGTGCCACTGTGACTCCTGGGAGAGGATTGGGTGGGATGGGAAGTCTACTCTTTTCAGGGGTGTTCATTCTGTCTCACGACTGTGTCACCTGTGATTTGACATTTTATTCACTTTAAAAAAGTAACATTGTGCCTAAAACATGGTAGATATGCAACAAACCCGGATGCCCTTTGCCTGGTATCTCGCACTCAGTTTTGTACGTTGAGAGCTTGGCTAGCTCCTAATGCCAGAGGAGATTATTTATTTGTTTATCTTTATTATTGAAAGTATTGCAGATGTCCCCTTTTCCCCACATTGAACCTCTCCTCCCCACTTCGCCCCCTCCCAGGCCTTTACCGAACTATTGTCTGTGTCCATGGGTTATGCATATATGCATGTAAGTTGTTTGATTAATGTCTTCCTGTTCCCCCACCCCCCACTCTTCCAAGAACCTTCAGTCTATTGCATGCTTCCATGTCTCTGAATCTATTTAGTTCCTCAGTTTATTTTGTTCATTAGATTCCACATATAAGTGAGATCATGTGATATTTGACTTTCTTTGACTGGCTTATTTGGCTTATAATACTCTCCAGGTCCCTCCATGTTATCTCATAGGGTAAGAGATCCTTATTTTTTACAGCTGCATAGTATTCCGTGGTGTAAATATTCCATAGATTTTTTCCACTCATCTACTGATGGGCACTTGGGCTGTTTCCAGATCTTAGCTATTGTAAATTACACTGCTGTGAACATAAGGATGCATATTTCCTTTCTGATTGGTGTTTCAGGCTTCTTCTTTTAAAATATATTTTATTGTTTTTTTACAGAGAGGAAGGGAGAGGGATAGAGAGTTAGAAACATCGACGAGAGAGAAACATCGATCATCTGCCTCCTGCACACCCCCTACTGGGGATGTGGCCGCAACCAAGGTACATGCCCTTGACCAGAATCGAACTTGGGACCCTTGAGTCCGCAGGCTGATGCTCTATCCACTGAGTCAAACCGGTTAGGGCTGTTTCAGGCTTCTTAGGATATATTCCTAGAAGTGGAATCACTGGGTCAAATGGCAGTTCCATGTTTAATTTTTTATCCCCAAACTCCCCATGGAGCTTCACTTTTCATTCCTCTTTCCCATGAGCCACACTGAGTCTTTCATGTGGATCTATAAATACTTTCAACCCCAACAGTGTTTGACTAGACATTTCTGTGTTGGCCACATCATGAACACAGGCATGAGAGTGATCATGAATAGTTTGGAAGGGGCATACAGTTTTCCTTTGTATGAACATTTCGATGTGTTGCCACTCTGTTTCATTTGTGTTCGGTCCTGAGCCTGTGTGTGTGCTCTGAGTAATGCCACCAAGAGATTTTTGTTGTCCAAAGTGGAGTACTGCTCGTGTTGTAGCTTCAGCATTGGTTCATAGATCAAAGTAGTGGGTGTGCTTTCTTTTGAAGTCTGATCACGGTCAGAAGTAGCGTGAATGTTGGAGTTTGCAATGGTGTTGGTACATTTGTGTCCAGTGAATCCTCCCTTCAGTTATTCCTTCTTGCAAGAGCAGGTGCTGGGTACAGTCTGTGGTCATGACACACTCACTCACACCCAGGATTTTACTTCAGTTTTAGAGGTTATGCAAGTTTATTGCAATTAATCAAATGAGGCTGTTTTCTAGAATGACCCAAAGTCCTAATCCAATAGGGACAATGGCCCTGTAACCATGCAGTCTTACTATTTTCATGAAATAACAAGATTACTGAGGTCCTTAGAAGCCTAGGGTTAACTGAAGAGGCAATTCAGGCATTATTTCCATAGGAACAGAGGAAGTGATTTCTGTATGACAAAGGGGAGGAAAATGAGAAATCTGAAGCTAATTATTTCTTTGGTAAAGGCTGTACTTAGACACTCTAAGGGCAAAAGGTGACTTCATTTTAATTGCTTTTCTATACTATTTCTTGTTTCTTGTTCCGTTGTGTGAAGAGTGGAAAGGAAAAAGTGAATTACTATGGATTTTCCTTTTTAATTAAAGCACATTGTTAGTTTCTGATAGCGTATTGATTGCTTACAATTCAGGGTGTTTTTCCATTTATTTTTTTATACAGAATTGAGGCTTGTGAACCTGGATGAGTCAGCCATTCATTGATGGTTTAAAATAGCGGCCATCTAGCTGTTAGCAGATTTGTTTGGAAATCAGAGTTTTAGTTAGCTGCAGAATTAGAAATTAAGTCTAGACGTACCAGATGAGCATTTTAGTTGTTCTTATACACAGGCTATTTCAAAAAAGTTGAGTATGATCTCAATCCAGGTTCCTATACCCTATTTTTTTCTGTATATACTATATTAATGTATATATCATGCTACGTGAAGTTATTGTTTCTAAGATAACAAATACTATTCCCATGAATCACAAATAAGTGTACCACTTTATATAACATCCAAGTTCTTAAAACTCTGTATCAAAATCAACTCATTTTTTAATTTGGGTTATATTATCTTTTCAGGGATTTCTCTTAATAAGCAGCCATCGGTTTTCCTGGCTATTTATACTACCTTAGCTCTTAAATACACGAGAGCAGCTAACTCTGTTTAAAAACATTTTCTGCCAAGTCATTTGGAAAACAAAGTAAGTTTTAACCTTCACCCATAGCCTTTGAGTCTGTCCAGCTGAAACTCCAGACATTGTGGAACAGAGACAAGTGATCCCCACCGGTCTGTCTGATTCCCTGGCTCACAGAATATGTGAACATGATAAAAATGGGGTTTTAAAAAATCACTTTTTACAAAAGTAAATACTATATATACCTTACCCTAATTTGTCTATTAATTCTTTTTTTAAATGTTTATTGGGTTTAATAATTTCTTAGGAAGAACATCCCTTTATTTCCATTAGAGATCATTTCTGAGATAAATAGGTATAATTGCAGTTACAGAATAATGCAATTACATATAAATATATAATAATATATAATGTCAATAACGAGTATTGATACTTGCTTTGTACATAGTTAAATATTCTTTGATTCTTTCAAAGGTTTTATATTTTCCTATTGCTTAGCAGCTGAATAAACTGAGGCTCACAAGGATTAAAACATTGATCTTAGTCACCCACAGTGAGAACTGTGGCTTGAATGAGGTCAGCTTGACTTCTAATTCCATGCTTTTCCACTGCACTACACTGTCTTCCCAAAGGGCCAGTGCAAAGGCCCGGTGCCCAGAGCCCCATGAACCAAGAAAGACCTACTTAGGTTTCTATTTTTCTTTTAGCATTTGCAAAGTGAAAAATTCTATAATATAGGGAAACTACATATATACAATATGTATATATGACTACAGATTAAACCAAAAGTAAATATGGTTGAGAATTAATTTTAAAATAATTATTTTTGCTTTAAAAAAAGAGATTGTAACAAAAAGAATGATATACTTTTATTTAAAGATTATTAAATATATATTAAATATCCTTCCATCTAAATAAGTACAAAAATTATATGCAAGGTCTTCATGTGCCAGCCATCCTGATTATTATGTTATTGTTTGATGTTATTTACATTAGGTCTTCTTTTAATTCATAAACAACATAGGGTGGCATACAAATGTATATTGTTTTATGTGGGGTTTTTTTGGTTTTGTATTATTTTATCTGTTCTGTTTCCATCACCTGTATCATACAATGCGTACACTTTCAGGAATTGCCTTTTCATTTAACATCATACTTTAAAAAATGTATTCATATTGATATATAGATTTTAAATCCATTTATTTGATATAGAATATTTTATTATAAATATTATTTCTCCATTTTGATATTGATTTCTAATAACTTATTATTTAAGAAATGCAGTGTATCTTTTTGTGTTGCAAGGGGTATATGAAATTTCAATTTTACTCAATCTTGTAAAATTTACCTTCCCATTAGGAATATTTAAGAATCAATATGTGAAAAGGGCCTGAAGAATCAGCACAAAATTCTAGGTACAGCAGGCATCTATAGCTTTCAGCCATAGAGTCCCAGATAATGTGGAGATGGGAAAAGTTGAATTTTAACATCCTACTCACAATGTTAAATAACGCCCTGTATAAACAAATCAGAAGGGAAATTTTTAATTCTTGAAACTAAAAATACTATTTATCAGAATTAGCAGGAAACCATTAAAGTGGAAGTCACAGAATGATTTGTGGCTCTAAATTAATTTATCAAGAGAAAAATGATTACATACAAAGAAAGCATTCAACTAGATTAACCAAGAAAAAGAATCCCAGGGTAGAGAACAGAGAAACAAGGGAAAAATAATAAAAATAAAGACAGAAATCAATGACAAGGGCAATAAAACAAACAAAACAGGGATTAATCAAGAATAAAATTTAAAAATGATTCATTAAAATAAATAAGAGAGACATTATGAAAAGCTCATTGAAAAAATAATTATGGGAAACAGAAAGAATTGTAACTGCAGTGCTTTCCCTGGTCCATTCTTCTTCCATGGCAGCCAGTCTGTATCTGTGTGGGGAAAACCCTTTCCCCTCCAAACTCAAACCAACCCACCCCCTTGCGGTTTTCTCATAGTTTTAAACTCTAGTTTTTTAGGTTCATCAATCTTCCTCCTGCTTCAGGGAGAGTAAAACAGAACAAACAAACTGAATGAATTAGATCTCGACTATTATTGGGACTGGTTGCATACGTATTATGATTTCATATAGAAACATCATAATGTTTTAGAAAAAAGCATCTATGTCTATATATAATAGAGACCACTTATACATAGATCCTCAAGGAGAGACTGCTATTCCAATGAAGAATATACAACACATATAGAGATATCCAAAACACCTAATAATGCTTTAAACTGAAAACTTATCCTTTTTAGTGTAGTCTACAATTCTGAACCACCATATCAAGAAGATAGTTCTGAAATTCACCACCCCCCCCCTTCCAAACCCCAGAAGTTCTGGACTGAGCACAGGAGCAATAGCTTCATTCCCCTCCTGTCTTCTGCTA